CAGTGGATTTATTGATTTATTTACTGTATATTGCTGCTGCCACACAGATCTAAAATAAACATGTGATTTATTTCCCAGCTGTTTACCTTCACAGACATAACCGACTGTTTTTTGTAACTGGTGTGTTTTTAACGTAAACTTGTGTGTGAATGAGAACTTTTGAGAGTTTAGTACTCACATGCCGTGACAGTAGGGTGACCATACGTGCCATTTTCCCAGGACGCGTCCTGGCCAGGATTTGTTTTGGCTTTGTTTTCCTGTTTTCATGCTTGCTGAAGGTAATGATCGAAAAGTAGTTTAACCAATAACATGCAAGCATTGTACATAATGGACCAATCATGGCGTGTGAGAAGGTGGGAGCTACAATCAAAGCGATGCAATTACGCGTACATATTAGGTGTGTTCGACTTAAAAGCAGTGCGGCTCAGACCGATCAGTGTTTGACATCAAAGTACCTTGAGAGCATTTTGAAAGCATAAGGAACCGTCTGTATGGTACTTTGATATCATACACCGATCGGTCTGCACACGCAAACAAAGCCAAAACCTAGATATTTTAGGCAATATAGAAATCCTGGCCAGGACGCGTCCTGGGAAAATGGCACGGATGGTCACCCAGATGGTCATGTGCTTCAGATGTGTGCTCTCAGAAAACCATATATCAGAAGTTTAAACTCATATGGCTTAAAACGCATGATTTCAGCGAGATAAACATGATAATCAGAACCAAAACAGATGTTTTTTAGCAGGTACAGCTGTAATGGCTTTCTGGAAAAGGGGGCGGGGAGCAGCAGCTCATTTGCATTTAAAGAGACAGGCACGAAAAACAGTGTGTTTCTGCTTCCACTCAAAATAGGCATTTTCAAAATGATATAATAAATGATCTGTGGAGTATTTTGAGCTGAAACTTCCCAGACACATCCGGGGGACACCAGAGACTTATATTACATATTGTAAAAAGGGGCATAATATGTCTCCTTTAAATAATGGTCATGAGGAAGGAGGAGCTTAATTGTCATGATTAAAATAATGTTTCAATCACTGATCTATCAGTGGTTTCAATGTTTCATTTTTGAATAATGCTGCAGTATGGCATTATCTTTATGCAAAATATAACTGATTTCGTTTTAATGTCCGTTGAAATATGGCTGTTTTTGACAGGTTTTGAAATTTACACAAATTAAGATATGAATACATCAAAGTTATGAGCATACGATTCGCTGACCGTTTTGTTAATGACTTATTAAAGAAAGTTACCCTACCCTAACCTAAAGTGCTACCAAATCATTAATAACATTACAATTAAACACCATTATGAAGAAAAAACAGCCTTAGCTGGTTTAAAATGGTCTCCCAGTCTGACCAAGTAAAAAAGGGCTCAAACCACACCAGAGTAACTAATATCCGTGGTGTGAAACTAAGGAGAGATGGCAGCATATGGTGCTCATTCACAGATTCCCATGACAGATATTCAGAGGAAAGCGCATTAGAAATGAGAGGACAGATCACTCGCCTGTGGTTGAACAGTTCTCCGGTACTACTGAGAAACTCTTTATCTTTATTCCTATTTTTGGACCTCCAGGTCGGGAAGCGTTTCTTCTTCTTCTGGGTGGGGCTGGTGGGCAGTGAGTCCGGGAATGAGGTGGCATCTCTAGGGCTCGACGGTAAAGTCATGACCGAACCTCTGAAACTCGCTTGGTCGTCTTCTGGTGAAGTGCCCCTCTGACCCTCAGTCCTGTCAGCATCCCTGCTTTCCTTATCGAAGCTCTTTGACTTCCCAAACAGTTTCTTAATGTTGGACTTTGAAATGCTCATGGCCGAGCCTTTACGACATATACAAAGGTGAAGTATACCTTTAGTCTTCCGAAAGTGGCAAAACTGAAAGTTTGAAATGCGCACGGTTTGTTTGGCGCGCGCTGGAGATTCGGTGTGGGCGGAGCGCGCGCTTCAGCTTTGAACTCCGTGTACACTTTCCCCTTGTTAACGTCTTTCTGATAGAACAAAAACTGGTCTGAGCTGTAAAACTTCACGAAAGTAAATAAAAATAATAATATATATATATATTTACTGAAACTGGAATACATAGTCACCTAGTTTCTTTTGAATGTTCTATTGTTAATTTACAGTGCTTGTTTAATTAAATTCAACCTCCAGTGTGAGACACCCATTGCAATTGGCTTTGAATGGAAAAAAGGTTATAGCGCCTCCTTGTGGTCATGCGTCCACATGCGTAAAAGAAATCTATAACTCGCAACTTGTAAAAATGAAAATTGTCATATTACAATCACTGTGCAATTAATTTTAAAGAAATTATCCAGATGTTTCTTTAAAATATGTTACCTTTTACGGTTTAATTTGTTAACATTGGTTCAGTACTTTAGTTAACATGAACAATGACTGATAGTTCTATGTAATTTATTAATCTTAGTTCATGTTTATTTCAACATTCACTGATACATTTTTCCAAATCAAAAATTACTGGCATTAGTTAATGCACTGTGAACTAGCTCGAACAATTGTATTTTTATTAACTAACATGAATAAATACAAATTAATACGTATTATATAAAAACTGTAATGCTCATTGTTAGTTCATGTATTTATGGATTAACCAAAGTTCACAAATGAGTTTGTTGTAAAGTGCTACCAATGTTCTAAACATAAAATATTTTCTTAGGAATATGTTTTAATTGGAAAGCATTTGACAGGTTTTTCCGGTCTTCAATTTTCATTTTCATTCAGTTACTAAATTACATTATTCAAGAAATGACAATTTTTGTAGAAAAATTTAAAATAAAATAAAAATCAGTATTTGTCTAAACTAGCACATTATCACGATGCTAGTTAAAAGCTGACTTTCTCATGTAACTCAATCCTTCATTAAGGAATGGCTAAATAAAAGCTCTATGCATTCATGTATTATATATTCATTCTGGATAGTAAGGTTTTTGTATCCATACTGCGTGTGTGGTTATTATTAACATTCAAGAGAAGGACTGACACAGACATAACAGGAAGAAACAGAGAGGGGGGAGTTTTGCCCTTCAAAGACAGAAATCTGTGACTGTCAGAAGTGTGAAAGTGACAATCCAGTAATTAGTATAAAACAGTATAGATATTTTATACCAAAATAATTCATACTCCAAATTTGTCATAGCTGCCAGCAGTTTATTTAATGAGAGTGCGAATGCATATGGCAAACATGCAGTGTTTTTAATGTAAAACCTGTTCCTTGCACGCACATACACAGGTCCAGTCAGAAATCTACAAAGAGCAACATTTTAACATTCAGTTTCTCAGAAAGAGATATGGGCTGAATAGTACGTAGTGAGCATCTCTCTAAAAAAAAAAAAACAATGCATGGCGCATTGCTGATTCCTTTAAATGCACAAAGCTGAAAAACACAATTTTAAAAAAAGTGGCCCTGGTCCAACTTTCTAATAGTGTGCAAATTATCTCCTGGTCTGAACTCAAAGTGAACTGAATCACGGACCGAAAAAGATCTCTACATTTTCACTCAGCCATCCAGTCCATTAATGGATCAGCATAAACCGAGGAGAGGAAAAAGGAAACGAGCTCCTCTGCAACACAATCTTCCTGTTTTTGTTCCCACAGGGCAGCAACTCGCTCACTTCCAACAGCAGAGAGATGGGTCTCAATTCATTTTACTCTCACTCTGTCTCGGTCCTTATATGTTGGATTTTGAGTTTTATTCAATGCTTAATGTTCTCTTTTTTGCTACCTTGAGAAAATGTATAAGGCCAGAGGTGTCATTACAGTTCATGAATGTATACAATTTGCACGTTCATTTCTGAAAACCAAAAACAAGATTTATAATTCTCCATCACAAAAAGAATTGGAAAAACATATGGCAACCAGTTTCTTTCATTTATAAACTTCCATTAACATCCAAATCAGAAACTACAAGCTTACTTTCAATGTTGTATCAACATCAAATGCGAGCCTTTAATCAAACTTGGTAGGCTAACTTGGTAAGGCTATAAAGCCATTTTTCTGTCTATACAGTCTTTTGATAGCACCACATCTTAAAAACTCAGCTTCTTTAAATGAGATGCACCTTAAAAAAAGAAAATCCCATTTTGCTACTATTCAAATTAAGGACGCTTCATGTGAAGTGCAAGTGATGTAGTTCTACCTCTAGAGCTACACAGGTGTTTTCCTTCATGCGTTTCATGCCATGAAATCCAGTTATGACGGTGCAGCACTCTTTATGCTAAATAATGAATAGAGTGAATAAGGCAACTCTATAGAATCTCTTCACGTATCTATAGTTTGTTAACGAGGTCTTTCCTTCATAAAAAGCCACAGGCGCTGCAAATTTACATGGTATGAGGCGCCATTTTTGCAAATAACTGATGACGAATGTGTATGATATGAACTTCATATTTAAGTGTCAGCCTTCTGACATTAACATAAGTCAATATGCACTTCATTTTAAACTTCGATAAAGGATCTTTTGAGACTTCGGTGCTACACTGCTCTCTAAAACTCTCTGAAAATAAACACTGGAGCTTTCAACACTGTTCAAATGCGTTTAGATAGAAACAAAACAAAAAAAAGTTTCATAACGGTTCACTTTGCAAGCTTAGAAAAAGCATCTTTTTCATATTTTAAATCCATATTAAAACAAAAGGCTGGTGAACCCACTCTTATTGCTACACCGTGTGGGTGAGAGGAATAGATATGCGTGAGCCACATGCTCACACACTATCAGCCATCGATACGCCGACAGTATCTGGCACTTCCTGCTTTAACACTTAAACTAAGACAAAAAGAAAAAAAAAAAAAAAGTGTGAACAAGCTTTTCAGTCGCACTGAAAATTATTGATATGTCCTAAAGAGCTGTAACGGCAGAAGGAGAAATCATGCATTGGGTATTTACTCTAAATAAAGTTTTCTTACTTTTCCAAACTCTCTTGAAATACTTTTGGTCTCACTTTTATAAAAGTGTGACCAAAAGAATTTCAAGTTCCTGCTTTAACACTTAAACTAAGAAAAAAAAAAAAAAAAAAAAAAAAGTGTGAACAAGCTTTTCAGCCACACTGAAAATTATTGATATGTCCTAAAGAGCTGTAACGGCAGAAGGAGAAATCATGCATTGGGTATTTACTCTAAATAAAAGAGGAGGAAAAAAAGGAGTCCATAGCTTGTTTCTTTCTCTTTCTCGTGTGATGGAAAATAAACAGTCCTAGTGCAGGGAGCGGAGTAGAGGAGATTTTGAGCCATTATTTGACAAGCCGCTTTGCTACATCAGCGTAGGCGATCTCGATCTCCTTGTCGCTGGGACACGTGTTGGTGAACTCCTCGCGCTTGTATGCATTGTTCAGGTACCTCCAGATGCCCGTCATGTCTTTAGGGATCTCAAAGCCTCTGTACTTCTTTGTCACCACCTGCAAGCAAAAAGGGGGAAAAAATTTATTGGAAAATCTTTCTGCTCAGTTCGCCATTTAATACTGCACATTATAACCCCATTAAAAGATCATTTGAAGCCCAAAATAACGTAAAATTCTCTTCAATCTGCAGCATAGGATGACCTGTATGGCTCGTTACCTTAACGATGTGGAGTTTGGGCAGCAGGTTGCAGTCAGCCAGTGTCATCTCTTCACCATCTAGGAAACTGCGTGTGGAGGCCTTCACTTCCTCCATGCTGTTGTGGTCGATCTCGTCCGGCAGAGGAGAGCACAGGTACTCATCCAACTTCTGCAAGGTCTTCAGCAGTCCCCTCTCCAAACCTATGTGTCATAACCCGTTAAGGAGTTAGGTAGAATAAAAAATAAATAAATAAATAAAAACTTGCATTGTATTAATGTCAAAGATGCTGTTTTCACATTTGTTTTGTTAGTGGTTCACAATTTTTGTCTGGCTTATTATTTATGTGAACACTCTAATTAAGATCTTAAAGCCCAAATGATTCACTTTTTTGGATAGAAAAATATAAATATTTTTATTAATAAAATAATAATAAATTAAAATTGTTAATAATAAATGAAAGTTGCTCTCCTTCATGCAACTTTCCTTGCAGGCAGCCAGCCACTTTAAAGCTTTTTTTCCAAGTCAATGTCTGTTTTTACAATTCACAAAGACTATACTACTTAATTGGAAAGACAACAATATTTCACAGTAAATTAACCAATTCACTTTATTTACTGACAGAGCATTAATTTCAAACTGTGAACAATTAAAATATTGTTTAATAAATAAAAGTACAACTGAACTGTCAACTACACACAGTGTAGTTAAAAAATGACTAGAAAAATTACTTCATCTTGCAGTGTTTTGTCAAAGTGGACAAATGATTATAAAATAGTATCTTTGTACAATATAATATTATACAATAATTATAAAATATATCATTATCATCAAGTATTTATCATTAAATCATTTTTAATATAATATATAATTCACAAAATGTAAAAGAAGAACGGATTACGGTTAAAAAGAATGTAACTTGCCCTCTAGAGGGAGAAAGTGCCAAAATGTAATTGCAGTGTTTGGTTGCACTTCTACTAAGCTGCCACATAAGGACATAATCACGCTCCAGTGAAAGCAGATCCCTACAGTACAGTTCATTTCATTTAGCTCTAAACTTTCAAAAAGAAAAAGGAACACTCAGTTGTGCAAACTGAAATGCTAAGGCATGTTTTGCTCTCTGTGAGAGGTGGCATATCCTAGCCATTTCTCCTGTACACAGCACTGTCTGCTAGCCTTGAGACATTGTTGACAGACTCCAGCTGGAATGAAGAGGCGGTTATCACCCACAGTCAACATTTTACTAGGGTGGAGGCTTGAAGTTAGTTTATGTTCATGGTCACTGCCAAACTCTTATTGAGCTGATGAGTTTTTGAGATTGTGCAGCTTTGCATTAAGGCAAATTCCTAGCGTATTTATCATTTACGAAAACTTAGTTTCAGGTAACAGTGTTTACTCTGGAAGTTGATCTAACTATCAAATTGTAGCTCTGCCTACAGCACTAAAGCATGTAAATTAGACACTGGATCCAAGCCCTGCGTTATCTAAACTAGAGACAACACGGTTTACATACACAACGCGAGACATGGCAACCATAACCAGGTCTAATCTCTGAGAGCAATAGAAAGTGTTTGTACGGTTAAACTAAGCTTATCAAATGTGTGAGTATTCCACTGAGCAATATACATTTGGTCTTTTGTTTGGAGGTGAAAGAGTGAAATATTTCTGGTCACCCTCGTTGGCATCAGGTTTGGAATTCTTGATGAAGGCAGAGAACTTGGCAAATAGATCCATCCCTGCAGTGTTGGATTCTGGGTGTCTGGCACCAAGTTTAGAGTACCTGAGTATATAAACACATACGTCAAGTAAAACCTTTTGACGTGGTGTTGACACACGTGACACTTAAATCCACAAACACACTCTTTCACTAACTTTGGAGGGCAGAGGACGTCCTCTAGGAACTCTTCGATCTTGTTGACATCTGTTTTGACCTCTCCATTAAAGGTGATGAAGGGAGGATGGGTTCCTGGGGCCAGATTCTGCAGATCAGCTGGTTTTCTACCAAGAAGAAACATAACTATAACATTAATGTAAATAAATACTTCTCTAAATGATGAAATTATCGATTTTCAATGAGAATTTGAAGAAAAATTGAAGTCTAAAAACTGTAGAAATGTTTTATTACTGAGCTATAACAGGCAGTCAGCATGCCAGAGCCCAAAGCAATTTAATAAATTGTTTTTCTTTACAAATACAAGGCGATAAGATGCCCTCAGGGGCTGTACACTGTGGCACAATAAGGGGTTTTCCAGAGCACTCACAGCCCAACACACACACACACACACACACACACACACACACACACACAAGCATGCACACATTTACTTAGCTTTTTATAAAACCAGTAGGATAAATGCTAACCCTACCCCTAAAAGATTCTTCTACATAAAGTTTTTTCCAACTGAGGACGTTCCTGGATGTCCACAAAGGGAGACTGTGAAATCTGAAAACACTTGAGGGTTCAGGAACAGAGGGGGCATATGTCCCATGAGGCCTTGCAGGCAGGAACACTCTAATCTTACCAGCTACAACAACAGGAAATGACCTCACACCTCTGGCATGAGCACAAGGAGCACCCCTATCCCTTTTGGTGGCACGAAGGAAAGGGTAAGAGAGAGGAGAAAGCAATAGGCAGGCAGGCAAGAAAGAACAGAAGCAAGAAAGAAGGAAAGAAGGAAAGAACTAAAAAGTAGATATTGATGATGCAATAGTCACAGTTTCACATAGTTTGATTTCATTTTAGGGTCATAAAATTTGAGCTCAACAAGGTCTCTGTTACAGCCTCATAAAACACTGACTGAAGATCATATGTGGAAAGTCTTAACAGAAAGAGGGAGAAAAACAGACTATAGGTGTGGAAGCTCTCTTCAAACAGTCATGTAATCTCACACACACACACACACCATAGATTGATGTGAATATGTTTAAATATTTGAGCATATACTGTATCAGTCAGTTTTCAAAAAGAAGATCAAAGAATCTTGCAATATTCTAAGACTGTAACACTTGGTTAACCTCATTTAAAGAAGTATTTAGGATTCACACGCAGCACAGTGGATACTATATAATAGCAGGTTAAAGTCACAGCTAATATTAGATGGCTTAACCTCATGTTCAGAAGTTCAAAATATTAGCACGGATCATCAGTGGCTCACACCCGGGCGTAAAAATATAGTGCCACTGCTGCCTCACTGCCACACGAGCGTCTTAAATTCCTCAGTGAAATACTTAAACATGCTTACTCACACAACATCACGGACAACTGCGAATGCCTAAGACTGAGAATGAAAATTAATATCTGAGATGGCTGAAAATGAGATTTACCAATACACACACACACACACACACACACACACACACTTATTATGCACACATTACTTTGCTATCTAAAAGTGGACACAAATTTATTTTAGATTGTATATAGGCCTATAGTTTTTCCAAACAAAGACAATGCTTGTCTCCATGGAAAGTTTTATCAGATTTAAGTCACTTCTGGGGATATTTCTGCCAATAAACCAAGAATGTTCACACGCACCTCTTAAGGTCCACAGTGGTGACATTGAAGACCACACCCTTCAGCCACAGGATCATGAAGAGACGCTGAGAAAATGGACAGTTGCCGATACTTTCTCCATCACTGCCCGCCTGAAAGAGAAAGAAAAATATGTTAGTCTGGCTTGAGAATTCAGTAAAACTGTCATCATTCCAATGAGTTGCTCCACATCAGCAGCGGGAATAGCAGCAAACATTTTGCAATCACAGGGTTATTATCGTACAACTCCGTACCATCACTGATAGATCAGATTATAGCCAGAGAAACAACTAAACCACATCAAGATAGATAACTTAAAGAATCAGCTCCAGTTACTGAGATTTATTTGACTGGAAGACTAACTTTAACCCCACTTCCAACACACAAACCAATATTAAGAGCAAAAGGCAAGCTGACCCCTGACTTAAAAACATGTCAGGCATTTCAAGTTTCCATAAATCTGTAATAACCAACTGGACAGTGAAAGCTACAACACTGTACACTGACACTGTGTTCTTTCACTGCCGAAGAGACCATCCAGAGACCCTGAAATTCATGAAAATGTACATAAAAACGAGAATACATTTATTTAGTTGGTAACAATTTATTTTAAGGACCAATTCCCATTACTAACTAGTTGCTTATTAGTAGGGATGCTCCGATCTGCCTTTTTCGCCTCCGACACCGATTCCGATACCTAGGGTTGGCCGATACCGATCCGATAACAGTGAAGACATGTATGTACAAATCAAGTATAATGGGAACACAGAATGATCTTGGAGAGAGCTTTACCGAACGTGACCAGGGTTTAACGGCTGAACGAATGAATGACAGACACAGCTGAGAAAAGAGTTTGTGTAAACTTTAATGTAAGGACTTAAATATTTATATGTAGCTCACATTAAGCGATTGTATGGCTTCAGAAGTAACACAGAATAATTCGCACAATCGGGGGAAAAAAAAAATCTCGGATTTGGATCGGCCCTCTCTGACAGATACCAGATCCGAGAAAAATGGCACTATCGGAGCCGATACCCGATATGAATATCGGATCGGCGCATCCCTACTTATTAGCATGCAAATTACTAGCATATTGGCTGTTTATTAGTACTTATAAAGCACATATTGTTGCCTTATTCTGCATGACCATATTTTAGATCCTTTAATCTACCCCAGACCTAAACTTAAATACTTTACTAACTTATAACAAGTAGCAAATTAGGAGTTTATTGTGGGAAAACTTTTAGTTAATAGTGAATATGTGTTTCCTATTCTAAAGTGTTACCATTCACTTAGTGAAAATGTACAACAGCGGAGTACTGAGATAAAGATAATGGAATTTAGCTAGTCGTGTGATTTTATTGAGCCTATCCTATTATGCTTTATGCATCGATTTATTTTTTAATTAGGGAAATGGCTAAGTGCCCCTTTAAAACATTCATCTTTCTGTTGGGATAGCAAGTGTATGTGTGAACATTTTTTCAAAAGACATGAATTCCACAGTGGAGATATCACCAAAGGAGCCCCCCCCCCCTCCTCCTCCGCATCTCTCGGCTGAATACCAACCTCAGTGAGAACTCCAACACACAACAGACCATCTCTCCATTAGCCCTCCACTAAGCTCCAGAAACAAGATGCTTATGACTCAGAGACTAGAGATGTTCATGTGTGCTTCAGCAATTTAGATTCAGCTAATTATGCAATGAGCTGACAGTCAGACTGACCTGACAGAAACTGGTGTTCTTTATCAAAAACTATCGAGCTTTAAGGAATTCTTGAAGCAAAAATAGACATCTTCTTTATGCTGCCTCCTTAAATTCCTTGTTTTGGCCAAACTACCATCCCATACACTACCATTTAAAGGTTTGGGATTAGTAAAATGTTCACTAAGGCTACATTTTCATCAAAATACAGTATAAAAAAGAACAACATTTTATTTGAATTTTCAGAATTTTAATTTTTGGGTGAACTCACCTTACTTTATTTTAAGGGAGAAAAAATCTTATATATAGGCCTATATATTCATGCTTAAAGGGGTCATATGATGCCATTTAAATTTTTCCTTTCTCTTTGGAGTGTTACAAGCTCTTGGTGCATAAAGAAGATCTGTAAAGTTGCAAAGACTAAAGTTTCAAATCCAAAGAGATATTCTTTATAAAAGTTAAAGAGTCAGCCACGCCTACCTAAAACGGCTCGTTCTAACACGCCCCACATATCTACATCGCTATGTGGGAAGATTTGCATAACGTCGCCCAAATATTTACGCAAAGAAAGTAGTAAACCGTCACAAGCTTGAGGTATTCAGCCAATCACAACGCACTGGATAGCTAGCCAATCAGAGCACACCTAGCTTTTCAGACCGATGAGCTTTGTAAAAATCGATGCGTTTCAGAAAGGCGGGGCATAGAGGAGAAACAATAATGTACAGTATGTGGAAAATAATGTGTTTTTGAACCTTAAACCGCATAAACACATTTCATTACACCAAATACACAAAATAATGTTCTTTTTAGTAGCATCATATGACCCCTTTAAGAGAACTGCATTATTTTTCTCTATGATGCCTATATTAAAATCATCTGCGAGTCAAACTTCCTGCGCATTTCATGTAAAGTGTTACAAATTTTGAATGAATACTCCTGAGGCAGCTTCCCATTTAGGCAGTACTAGGCACACAGGTAGGTTTTGGAACACAGCTAGGCAGAATATAAATTATTATAAATATTATGTAAATATCATTATAAGACAACGATTAGATGGTCACCACCATTTATTGGATGAAACCCATTCTGTACAATTTAAGGAAGGCATTACACAATCATAAACGGTCAGTTCTGGATTCTAGCATGTTCTCAGAGTTCAATAAACCTCACAGAGCAGCACTGATATCTGAATCGGCTTTTTTCCTCAGCAGTGTATTGTTGTAAGCTCTCGTGTTATCTGGTTTCACACACTGAAAAGAATCCAGCAGCCCAATAAAGAACAGAAGACTTTGTTCTAGAGAGATCGTGCTCTCTCTCTCGCTTTCATTCTTCCTCCATCTCTTTCCCGTCCAGGCACCCTGCTGCCTGGCATCTCTTGTTCATAAACTTTTCTCTCTCTCTGTGGTGAACAAAAGTTTTACTTTTGTTCAGTGCTCACTGTAGCAAGTTGACTCAGGGTTCATTTTCAGTGGCTTCTCTTGTTAAAATGTGCTGGTAAAGAGTGCATTTGTGTCCCTTTTACATTCCTCCATTCACTCACATTCTCAAAATAAAACCTGTGTCATTCTTGGAAAGAAAATGGGCATTGTTCAAGGAGGGGAGTAAGAGTCAGAGATTTTATGACTGAAGATGATTCAGTGGCTTCCGGTTTCTGCCCAGTGAAAGATGTTCACTGTAAGAGGGAATGGGAAGAGTCTGTCAACAGTTTCCATAGAGACACATGATGTAGTGTCTGTCCTGTAGAGTTCAGTCTATTAGAGCTGACAATAGACCACAGAAAACAACCTGTTCCACAAACTCACAGCCAAGAACTGCAACAGTACAAAATGATGAGGGTTATGATGAAGAAAAACATTTAAATCAAAGCTTCTTCACTTTGTGCTTCTGTGCGAGTCTGAAAACGTCAATAGAAATTAAGAAAAGAAGTTCTAATTGAAATTAAATCTTTATTTCTCTACGTAATGCATATACAGTCTACTATGTAGACAAATATAACATTATTAACTCCTTCAATACTATTTGACAAGCAATACCTCAAGTTTGAGAAAATCTGTAAACCAGTACTCTAGACAAAAGCTACTTTACAAAAACCTAAAATAAACTAAAAAAACATAAAAATAGGATTATTATATACGGTCTCTTATGTTCATCAAGGCTTCATTTAATCAAAAACACAGTGATATTGTTGAATTTTATTATCATTTAAAATAACTGGTTTCTATTTTGATACATTTTAAAATAATCATTCCTGTGATTGCAAAGTTGAATTTTTATATATATATATATATATATATATATAAAATACACATACACACACATATACATGTATACATTTAATAAATGTAATATATACACGCCTCAATATTTCTTAAATATATACAGGTGTGTATTTATATAGGCTACATATAAATATACACAGTACACACACATATATTGTGCAAACACAATAACTTTTATTTTAGATGTGCAAATCACAAACTATTATTTTAGATGTGATTAACCGATTTGACAGTCCTACTTAAAATGTATCAAAAGTGACAATTTATTAAATATTTGCAGAATAAATAAATGTATAAAAAAAGAGATTAATATATTTATATATGCCTCCCTGTTCTCTAAATATTACAGATAATATATCAAAGCATTTCTGAGTGACTGCTCACTGAAGTACTGATGCTATTTAATGATGCTAGATTGTGACAGGAAACCAAGAAAATCAAGTCATGGGAAAACTGTTGACTTGTCAATAATCGTTCATCAAGCCTGAGTGACTTATTTTCTGCAAACATCAGAATCGTAGGCTCCTTTTGTTTAAAGACAAAACCATTCAAATTTTAAAGGAAGTCAAATAAATTGATAAAGCAGCTACAAACAAAGGTTAGTTTTGGTAATTAGTTTTCTTGCTGCAGTACCAGTAATTGCCTGAAGGTTAGCACAGCTGTGGATTCCCCAGGGTGTTTCTGCTCATCTGCTCCATTCATCACAACAGAGGGCAAACTGCCTCTCCTCACACAAACAGGTTTAATAAGAAGACCAATTGTTTGTATTAACGAGGGACACAGAGAGAAAAACTCAAAAAGACGTCAGCCATTCAAGTCCCTACAGAATTTTTATTTAAAAGAATCTGGATTTAATTATTCACTGGTTATAATCCAACTCCAAGTGCTTTTGAATCAAGCTTTATAAAAGAAGCTTAATTACTGATTACAACACATCTTCATAAGTAGTGAAGCAACAAGACAAGACAAAAGCAGCAGCAGGTGAGCTTTCACAAACTAGAAAGGATTCTTTCCTGTTTACATGTTAAGCCCCCTTCTGTCTTCATTTCTCCCCTTTTTGTTTTTGTACTCCTCTTCTCCCTTACCTCCCCTTCTGTAAGGCCTCAGAGGATGGTGGGGAGGGGAGCAGAA